CACCATCCTGGCAATTGTTGACTCTGTTTGAGTATATTGTTCCAGTCTCTGTGCCAATCCATCTCCATGGAAGTCTTCCTCATTTTCACAGCCCCTCTAATTTACTAAGCATGATGTCCTTCTCCAGGAACTTGTCTCTCCTGATAACATGTCCAAAGTACTTGAGACAAAATTTTGCCATCCTCATTTCTAAGGAGCATTCTGGTTGTGTTCGTACCAAGTTTCTTCTTTGACAGTCCATAGTACATTCAATATATTTCACCAGTAACCTAATTCAAATACATAAATGTTTTTTGAGGGCTTCCTTATTCAATGTTCAACTTTCACATGCCTAGGAGACAATTGAAGATATCATGGTTTGAGTCAGGTATACCTCAATCCTCAAAGTGACATCCTTGCTCCTCAACATTGAAAGAGTTCTTGTGCAGTTGATTTGCATAACAATGTGTCCTTCCATCTCTTGGCCACTATCCCGGAGCATTGCTTGGCAGGCAAACTGAAACCCTTGACAACTTCAGTCTTGTCAGTGTTTATCATGATGCTATCTTATGGATCCAGTTGTGAGGATTTTGGTCTTCTTTACATTGAATTGTGATCCATACTGAAGGCTGAGATCCTTGATCCTCATCAGCAAGTGCTTCAAGTCCTCTTCACTTTCAGAAGCAAAGTGTGTCAGCTCCATATCACAGGTTGTTAATAAGTCTTCCTCCAATCCTGGTCCCATGCTTTTTCATATAGTTCAGCTTCTCTGATTATTTGCTCAGTGTACAGTTTGAATAAATATGGGAGGAGCATACCTATTATTCTGATGTTAAAACATCCAGTGTTTGATTCCAACAGTGACACATTAAGATCAATTTAAGATAGATTTCTAAGACTCTAAGTCTTTATGGGAGTAGAAAGTCTAATACTTCCACCATGAAGCATCTGGTGGTTTTGAACTGCTGACCTTCAGGTTTGTGGCCCAATGTGTATCCACTGCACCACCTGTACTCCACCCTACAATTACACCACCTGCTTGGCTGCTTCACATAAGATCCCCTTGTGGAGTTGACCACACTATGTTAGACCACATCATGAGAGAATCCTGGTCCAGTCAAGTTGACATGAAACCTATCACAGCGTGGAATGCAAGCCCCACATCTCAGGTCACGCTGGTTGTGCAGTGGGTTTGAAATCGGGCTGTTAATCAAAAGGTCAATAGTTTGAAACCACAAGTCATCCTATGGGAGAAAAATGAGCCTTTCTTCTCCTGTGAATATTTATAGCCTCAGAAACCTACAGGGACAAGTCTATACTGCCCACAGGGTTGCTATGAGCTCAAATTGACTCAATGAAAGTAAGTTTGGTTTGATTTTACTCAGGTCACAACCTTGATTAATTGAAAGGAGTTTCTCTGAGGGTGTGGCCTATTTTCCATATAAGTGGAAAAGTTTGCTTCCTTTTTGTTGGATCCTGTATTTTCTTCATTGATCTCCAATCCTTTGAACTTGAACTACAGCTTGCCATATTGCCTGTCAATCCGGGGAGCCATCAGCCTGCAGTCTGAACTGCCATCAAACCTACTAACAAACTGGGCACAATTCCCTCACTTCGTCTCCGGTGTTGTCCCCCATAGCACTATGGATCAGTGAGGAGACATCATGTCTCATGGTGGGGCCGGCCCTACAGTCATTTCTGTGCATTGGCTACTCCAAGCAGGAATATTGTCCTTGGGGCTTGGTGGACCAGGCTGTGGTTCTGTCTCTCTCTTTCTTTCTCTCTCTCTCTCCTTCCCTCTTAGTTTGCTTCTGTGTGTTCTGAGCAGACTCGTCCCTCTCCTTGGGCTGTATCTTCAGTGCTGTCCTCTGTAATGCATTCTTCTGGGGAGGGGTCAATGCAGTTGGGATTGGGCCAGCCAGCACACCTCTCTGTTAGTTCACTGTTTCATGAAGGTATGTTGCCTTTGAGTCTTAGCACACCAGGTTGAGGTCTGGTCCCTCTCTTCCTTTCTTGTGGAGACATAAACAATACTCTCCCCATGGGTGGGTTAGTGCCCTGTTTTTCTTTCATTTTTCTCCCAGGAACTGGTCTCATTGCCATTCAATCAAAATCGACACACAGTTACCCTACAGGACAGGGTATAACTGCCCCTGTAGTTTCTGAGACTGTATCTCTTTGCTGGAGTAGAAAGCCCCCTCTTTCTCGAGTGAAGCAGCTCCTGGTTTCTAACTTCTGACCTTGCAGATCGCTATCTAACACTTAACCACTAACCGACAGTGCTACCAGGAGTCCTTAAGAGGGTCAAAAGAAATGCATAATTAATAAAAAAATGTCTTTATATTTACAAAATTAACAAATGTCATTAAGAAGTATTTTTGAATTAAAATGCTATAATTGTCCTGGTATGAAAATTCTAAAAGATTTGGTTCAAGCATCTCTCTGAATATTGGTCTTGTATTGAATATTGTATTGAATATTGCTCTTTGTGTTGGTGCTATTAGGTGCCATCAGGTTTGTTCCAGCCCATAACAACCCTGTGTACAGTAGAATGAAACACTGGCCAGTCCTGCACCATCTTCACAATTATTTTCATGTTTGAGCCCATTCTGCGGCAACTATGTTAATCCAGCTCATGGATCTTCTTACTTTGTCTCTGCTCCTCTTCTGCACCAATCGGATGTCTTTCTCCAGGGACTGCTTTCTCCTGATCACGTGTCCATGTGCCTGAGATATCTTTCCATTTCACTTATAATGAGCACTTCTCCCGTCCAAAGCAGATGTGTTCATATTTATGGTGGTCCATTATCCTAAGGCAACAATTCTTCGTCAGTGTCCCTCATCATTGTCCAGCTTTCATATATATCTGAGGCAACTGAAAATGCTCTTGCTTGGGGGAGGTGCACTTTAATTCTCAAAGGGACATCTTTGATCATGAGAGTGTCTATACCTAGTTTTTCAGAGGTTATATTATGTAAATTTAAGCTTTGTTATACATAAAGTATCACTGGACTTATTCAAAAGAGATATAATTATGATTGCCTCTGGAGAGAAGATATGAGATCTTAAGAGAAACTTACTTTTCACTAAATGATCCCATAAACTATTCTTTGTTTTCCATAATAAGCTTATATAACCATTTTCAAAAATCTAAGCAACAATTTTAAAATTTTCATAAAGAAATGTTCAAGAAACAAAGAAAATAAAATATGTAAATTCTCAGGATACTATAATGCACCTAGAAACACATTGAAAGTCAGTGTTTTATCAGTTTTCAGTATTTATACTTCTCAAATTTTCCTAATTTTATAGCAAAAAGGTTTCACATCATTTCAATTTGCTTTTTAAAATTCATACCGGAGATAATCTATTTTAAAAATTGCTTAATCATTTTAATTTCATGATTTTAGGCAACAGTGACATTAAATGATCAATAAACTCTCTTGTCATATAATAGGAAAAACTAAACACTGTCTCAGAGACCTTTGGGGCAACATTCAAACATACTAGCTTATGTACAATGCACGGCCCAGGCAGAGAGAAAAAAGTAGTTTAAATATTCAGAAAAATAATGACTGAAAATATCCCAAATTTGATTAAAAACATGAATGTACAAAGTCCAGAAGGTCAACAAACTCTGAATAAATGAGCACAAGAGATCCATACCAGATTTAATTACTGATAGGCAAAAACTATATTATTTGCATTTGTAATAGTTACATTAAATGTGAATGAATTATATATTCTAATAAAAAGGCTAGAATAGTTAGAATTAACAAAATGGCATGAACCAATTTTATACTGTCTAGAAACGACACACAGCTTCAGAGACAAAACTTAAAAACACAAAAGGCTAGAGAAAGATGCTTTGTAAGCAGAAACCATAGGAGAGCCAGAATAGCTATAGTAATAAGAAACAAACTGCATATTAAGGGGAAAATAACACAGTCAAAAGAAATAGCAATTTAAATATATATACACCTAACAGCAGGATCCAAAAAGGACATGAAGTAAGGACTGACACAACCGAAATAGAAATTGACAGTTCAAAAATGTCAATACCACACTAGCAATATTTGATACAACTAAACATAATTTCATTAAAGATGTAGAACATTTGAACCAACTAACTGACAGTATAGCACATTTTGCTCAAAAATAGTATAACATACCTTCTTTTTCAATACATATGAAATATTTTCCAGGACACACCATATTCTAGACCATAAATAAATTCTAAATTAAATGTAATTGTTGGTAAATTATCTGTTCATATCTTTGGCCCATATGTCTAATGTAATTATAGTTTTTTTCATCTATAAATAAATTCTTTATGTAATAATTATACTGAACTTCTGCTTTCTATATTTGCTGCATGTATTTTTCCAATTTGCTTTTGTCATTTATGTTGGTGTTTTTATTTTTATGTGTCTTAGAACTACTAACATTTTTCCTTCATTAATTCTTCTACCAGTAACCTAATTAGAAATTCCTTACCACTTTAAAGTTTTAATAAAATTAACTTCTGATTTTTTCAAGCTTTTTTCTTACATGACATGTTTTTATTGTTTAAATTTTGAACACACATGGAAAATGTAGATGTTTGAAGTAAAGATCTAATATTTATCCACAGTTAGCCTATTTTTCCAGTGGAAAAATAAATAAGCTCAAGAGACAAGGACACAGGTGGTGAAGACAGAGCGGTTGCAGCAGAAAGGTTGCAATTTCACTGGTGACTTCTATGGCAAATGTAAGAAAGAAAGGTATTTGGATGTGAGGAGAAAAATGTTCAGGAGGAGGAAAGTGTCAGGTTGGGAAGTGCCTGGAATTGCCAATGGACAAGGAGAACAGTGATGTTTGGAGTCAAGAGACTAAAAAATACAGGAGTGGGAGGGCCAGAAACTGGGAGCCTTTTAAGCCATAGGAATAGCTTGGCCTTTTACTGTGCGTTGGTAGCTATTGGAAGATTTAGGTATAGGAATGATTAAAAATTAGATGTATAATAAAAGGATTGTACATACTTCTAAATAATTGTGCTGCGATCCATACTGAAGGTTGCAATCTTTGATCTTCCGTCAACAACCGCTTCAAGTTCTTGCCTTGACTTGTGTTCCGTCAGCAAATAGAGGTTCCGAAGACTTTCCTAGACCTTGTCGTGATGTTGATTCTACTTTGAAAAGGCAGCTCTTCCTCCATCCTGGACTGAATGCCTCTGACCTGAGGAGAGGCTGATCTGGCAATATAGCCCACAGGTTCAGTTGCTGTTCGTAACGTGGATCTGACAATGCTCTGTCGCGATTGCAGGATCGTGTAGATAGCAGTGTGTTCCACTCTGGCCTTTAAGGCTTGTAAACCCACCAAGGTTCTGCCCTGCTTCCATCATTTTGTGCCGATCTCCCTCTTATTGTGTGTCGCCTTCCCCTCCCCCCATACTCACACTTCATCTACCATTTAGCTTTCTCTCCCTTAGCTTCCTCTCCACCGCTCGTCACCATCAAAGAATAATCTTTTCAGTGTGAAAACAGTTTCTTGACTTTTTGTAATTTATTTGTTTTCAGATAATATGTGTCCTTTGAACTTGATTGATTTCATCCTGCGTAATGTCCTCCGGGTTCACTCATGCTGTGAGGTGTTTCACAGATTATTATTGTTCTTTAATGTTGTCTAGTATTTCGTTGTTTGTATAGATAACAAAGATTTTTATCCACTTCCACTGCTGGACACGTAGGTTGTTGTCCATCTTTGTGCTATTATGAAAAGTGTTGCAATTAACATGTGTGTGTATGTATTCGTGGTGAGGCCTTTGTCTAGGATTCATACCAAGATAACTAATTCTTCAATGTTTCATTTTTCTTAGCTTTCACAGAGTCCCTCAGCATCATCTCAATTAGCTCGCTATATTTTGGTAATAAAACCAGTGGTGACCTGTGACCGACAGACATTCAGATTTGCCTATAAATAATACCAGGAGTTTAAATGTTATGAAGATCATGTCTTTAAAGTGGTTTGAAAATCTGCCAAGTCATTTTAACCTAGTTCTCAGAGCAGTTGAACTTTGATAAAGCCATTATATCCTAGGATGAGTTCTTCATTTTGAAGGTTCAGCCAACTTTCTAGTAAAATGTATCCCATATTTTCTAATCAGATGGGGTATTTTATATGAAAGAGTACATAAATAACTAATCTCATTTAAAAATATATTTTTAGTATTACTTTAATGTAGTACATTTTTTAATATATCACCACTGTCTAGGAGTGATTTTTCCATATTCTGTAATACTAAATTGATAGTTTTACTTTTAGAACATTACTATCAGTTCTAAAATATATTCTTCTTTAATTTCCTTTGAAATATATTTCATTCTCTTTTACCAAATAACTTGATTTTTGCATTTTTATCCAAATTTCAATAGCTATCTAAACTTTCTAAATCCCCAAAACAAAATAATTCTACAAATGAAAAGTCTTTGCAAAAGTCAATATTTGAAAATCATCTACGGGACAATAGTTACCAATTTCTAAAACAGAATTGAAAGAAAGTTTAATTTTGGTGTTGAATTAAAAGTGTATAGATAGTGTTAATGGGACGGCTAAACTTTTTAACTTATTCACAAGACAAGAAATCGCTGATCACCTATCAATAGACTAATAAATTTGAAGGATTATTCAAAGTTTTGTTTTTCTGAATCCTATAATCAATGGTAACAAATAAAACTATTAAAATTTTCCATATATGAAAATCATGTGTGCATGAATCGTTTTGCCTAAATAGAATTTGAAAGGGAGTGGAAATCAAAGTAAAGGATAGAAATAATATGTGAAAATGATTTCGAAGAACTATGTTGAAACTGAAAATTATGTTCCTGACCCTGACAGTGAGTCGCTCTAGTTCACTGGGGTCATAAAAGTTTTGAACAGAGGAATTCAATCAGCCTAAATCTTAAATTAAAATCACATATTAAAATAACATCCCTGGGTCTATATTGTAATTAGAGCAAAGGAAAAGAAATTATCTTGTTGAAGAAAAGGAGGAGAAATAGCACGTCGAGTTTGGTTTTAGAGCAAACAGAGTTATAGAAGTGGAGACCTGGTGGGGTGGTGGTTGCGCCCTGGGCGGCGATCTGTATGGTGGTCAGTTGAGCGCGTCCGCCGCTCAGAGGCAGGGAGAAGGACTGGGCGTTCTCCGCTCATGAGCAGTGACAGTCGCCACAGCGCACAGGGAGTTAGCACTGCGTTAGCACTGACTCAGTGGCAGTGAGAGGGGGGTTCTAGATATTGATGGTACAGAACTCACTGTTACTAAATGAAGTGCAGTAAACCATAAACTCGTTATGGCTTAACCATTGTAAAACTGAAAAAGATCCATAGGTTATTTCACAGTTGTCAATGTTTTTTTATTCCTGAACTTCCAACCTAGATCGCTAAACTGAGGAAGAACTAGTCCCATTCATTATTTCACTGGACACAGAAACAGACACTAATTTAAAGGAAGGACGCCTTTAAGAAAATCTAATTTAATGACAAAAAAATTTTTTTGATGGCTGGTATTAGGCAAGAAGAAATGGTAATTCCGCCTCTAGCATACATCCAATTAATAAAAAGAAAAGCTGAAGTAACACTTGGACGTCCTGGAGTGAATTTTAAAAATAAATAAATGCTCAGAGTCGCAGCTTGAAGAGCGGGTCTGCCGAACGATCCACGGAGGATGCGACCCAGCTGTGCTGTCTTCACTAGGATCAAATGAGGCAACATGGGCTTTGTTTTGTTCAAAAACAGGCATTGAAATGTGAACCATGGCGAATACTTTGCCCTGTAACATTCTATGTCTAACACATGTCTTTTTCTCTTTGGTGATTACATATTTAGCCATAAAATATAGTCAACGTTCAGATTTCTGATTGGAAAATACTAAATCTGTAAGTTAGGAACACAAAAGAAAAAATCAAATATTTACATTTTTCCTCTTTTCTTACCATAACTGAGGAGCCGGGGGGCATAATGGTCCCACATTGGGCTGCGATCCATCAGGTCAGGAGCTCGAAACCCCCGGGCTCCTCCTCCTGGGAAGAGCCCCAGTCTCAAAATTCACAAGGGCCCTTCTACCGTAGCCCAGAGCTGCCGCCCCACGAGTTGGCAGTGACTCACTGACAAACCCTAACCAAAGCTTTACAACTATGATTCAAACTCCGAAATGTGACAAAGCTTAAAATCAAACAAATAAAATGAACCAGTCATAATAGCACACGACAACGTCCCCACTGTTGTCTCGTGGAGTTTGACCGCTACAGATGAATAAAACTGCCCAAAGGGTTTCTAAGGCAAAATCCTTACGGACGCAGACTGCCACGTCTTTCATCCGCAGCCGGGCACTTTAGCCCCTGGGCCACCAGGGCTCTGTGCCAACCTCAGATACTGATTTATATTTATCCCATATGTGTTGGCATAAATAATAGTTTAGATAACATGTAATTTTTCATGTTCAAGCCTTTACATGTGAAGAAACATATTTTTAAAATATTTAATAGCCTCCCAGAGTAATATTCTGGTTTTAATTACTCACTGCAGACATTTTGCGTTTAGATACTTTGCCTTCCCACAAAGGAAGACAACAGAGTTCAAAGTCAGGGACCACTTTTGAGGAAAATATGCTAACTGAGAGGACACCCTCTATCTCTCTGTAACTGAAGAAAGTCTTTGTTTCATTGTCCCAGTTGCTACAATGGCTAATGTGAGAAAATAAAATGAAACACTGAAAATATTCAACTAAAACAAGAGTAAGTATTAAGGGGGAAATAAATGACAAAAATTGAAACTATAGAAGATGATACACTTTAATCCAACCGTCCTGATAATTATATTAAACGGATGAAACAAGAAAATAAAAAGCTAGGTGTTATACAACTGCTTCTAAAGTCCAAAGAAAAGTTTATATCCAATTGCCTATAAGCAATGCACATTAAATATAGATGAGAGGTTCAAAGTTTAAAAAAGAGAAATATGAGTAGTAAGTACAGAAAAGTATGTGTGACTTTAATAATATTAGTTAAGTTGCTATTTAAGACAAGGAGTATACTAGAAATAGGGAGAATTTGGATAATAATTTAAAAGGTGAATTAAACAGTTCACATTAAAATAAAAAACTACTGCTTTCAAATGCAGTCTGACTCACAGAGATCCTATGAGACAGAGGAGAAGTGTACCATAGGGGTCCAAGGCTGTAGTCTTCATGAAACAGATCACCAGGTCTTTCTCCAATAAGCCAATCTGTGGGTTCAAACCACTGACCTTTAGGTTGCCAGCTAAGAACTACTCTACTGTACCACTGAGGCTCATTATACACAAGGAGCCTAAATATCTAAGCACCTAATAAAAAGCACCAAACTATACAGAGGTAAGTTGACAGTGACAAGAGGAGAAAACAACAAATCGACAATTATTGTTGGGTATTTCATAACTCTCAGAGTTACCAATAGAGTAAGTAGACCAAAAAAGGATAAGTAGAAAACCAATCAAGCCCATTCCAATGGGGTAGATTTTTAACCATGACTCAAACCACGGGCCTTATACTGGCTGCTCAATGCTTATCCAACTCACCGTGATGGGTCCGTAGCTTCCCTTGAAAGTTCCTAAATATCTAATTCTTTTTCAAATATTTCCCACCTTTTTTGGCTTATCCTGTCATCTGTGGGTCTGAATTATTTCTCATATTTAAAACCTGATGATACATTAATAGATTAGATTAATTTATTATAATTATAGAAAATATTATTGATATTACAATCAAATACAATTTTGCTGATGATCATTCAACAAGGGTTGCAGCACTCCATTAACAGGGAGCTGCGAGAGGTTCCGGCCACATTCAGGAGAGAATGCAAATCAAAGGACAACATTGCTGATAGCAGACTGATCTCAGTTGCAAGCAGAAAATACCAGGAAGATATTTAGTTGTGTCTCAACAGCTAAGCAAAGGCATTCATTTTTGTGGAACAAAACTATGGACAACTTTGAAAAGAATAAGAATCCAGACCATTTCACTGTGTTCATGTGACAGCTGAACCTGGATCAAGAGGCACATATGCAAGCAGAACGAGGGAAGATTGCGTGGTTTAAAATCAGGAAAGGTGCGGCTCAGGGCTGTATCCTCTCATCAAACTTACTCCATCCCTATGCCGGACAAATAACCCGGGGAAACCAGGTCACATGAAGAAGAATGTGGGATCAAGATTGGAGGAAGACTTACTAACAATCTGAAACAGCCTGGCCTGTGACAGTGAGGAGGACTTGCAGCGCTCGTCGTTGAAGATCAAGGATTGCGGCCTTCCGGATGGATCAGACCTCATTGTAAAAAAACACAAAATCCTCATGAGTGGAGCAATAGGTAACAACGTGATAAACAGATTTAAAAAAAAAAAAGATTTGTCCAGCACTTCCTCTTGCTTGTGTCCACAATCAGTGCTCATGC